GCCCCTGCAACTGCAACTGCGAATAAAAGATCTCACGAGTGGACACACAAATGTGGGAGGTATTGATTGGCTAGAACGAAGCTTTTCTTCCACTTCCAGAGCATCAGGCTTAGGATTTCAATTCCTCCCCCCCACCCCCACCCTCCCTCTCTCTCTCGCCCCAACATCTTTTTATCACAGAGTGTTCTGTTCTTTCTTTTTCTTTTGAAATCTCCCGCTTTTCTTTCGTCGCGGATCAGCACATGCATGCGGTTGGTTGGTTACCTATACCTATCCTGCTATCGCCATCTGACCAAAACCAATAAACACCACGAGTGGTTCCTGGCTTGGGAATTGGCGGATGGGCGTTGAGTTACTTACTTGAATAGCCGGCCGAGCTCAACAGCCAGCAAGAACGGATAGACAGATACTTAAGGACAACCCTCTTTCTGCGTCTTCTGCCTCCTCGTCTTCTCGTTAATCACCATCTTCACTCGTTTGGATCGAGTAATCTCGAAATCACTGAGTACGTAAAAGCTACCGGTCGAGCTGTTGCCCGATCAATCAAACATGATTTTTTATTCATCTGTACTGCTGATTATCAACAATTGGGCGCTAGAATTGTAAAATAAGTCTTTGTACGCCTATTTCATCTTACTATCATGACAGCCTTGGGGGTTGTTCCTTTCAATAGCCTTCCATTAAACAAGGAGAAGAGACCATGGACCATATATCTCTGCAAACTACCGCAACTCCACGCTAAATACCAGTCTGGTTTCGCCCAGAAATACTCCCAGCACCCTTTTCTTTCCCAGCACGTTGATAAGCCTTCTATCATACAACGATGGAACCCGGAACAATCTCCAAGCCATCATTTTCCTCCTTGATTCTTACAGTGGCGGTATCGCCCATCTTCAGCTCCCCCCGAATAATCTTATCTGCCAATCCGTTCCCGATCTGGGTGCTTATCAACCGATTTAAAGGTCGGGCTCCGAATCTAGGGTCGTAGCCGCGCTCGGCAAGCCAGGTGCGAACGGCCAGGTCGACGTTGAGAGTAACGCGTCTGTCATCGAGACGAGCCTGTAGTTCCTTCAGACGGATATCGACGATATCGCGGAGAGCGGTAGTAGAAAGGCGTTTGAAGATGATGAACTCGTCGATTCTGTTGAGAAATTCAGGGGCATAGTTGCTGTTCACTACATCCATCACCGCATTCCGAATCTTTGGCGAGATATCTCCGTTTGGCTCTTCGGTGTATGGGTGAATGAGATCGTTGCCTACTAGTATATTTGCGCCGAGGTTGGATGTAAATACGATGAGAGTATTGCGGAAATCGATTTTGTGACCTTGGGCGTCAGTTAAAAACCCTTCATCGAGGACTTGGAGAAGTAGGGCGGAGATGTCGCGGTGGGCTTTTTCAAATTCGTCGAAGAGGAGGACTGCGTATGGTTTACGTCGGACGGCTTCTGTTAGTTGGCCTGCGTCGTCATATCCTACGTAGCCAGCGGGACTTTGACGTGTCAGTATCAGCCAAACGATTGGTTAGAAGTTGATTACATACCTGCCAATTAAACGAGAGATGGTATGTTTCTCCTGAAACTCGCTCATATCGAATCTAACAACAGCCGACTCAGTAGAGAAGAGGAAGTTGGCCAGCTTCTTGCAGAGCTCGGTTTTACCAACTCCTGTAGGGCCGAGGAAAAAGAAGGATGCTAGAGGTCTGTTCTCTCCGTTGAGACCAGCGCGTTGCATTCGTACAGCATTAGCGACGGCGCTGAGAGCCTCGTCTTGGCCACGGACGGATTCTCTAAGTGAATCCTCCATTCGGATAAGTTTTTCCGCATGACCTGATGTCAACTTGTCGACTGGTATTCCGGTGACTCGACTCACGACTGCTGCGATGTCATCTGCTGTGACCGATTCATGGATCAGACCAGTAGAGGAAGATTCGCCGTCCTTGGGAAGTTTGGATTCTAGATTTGGGATCACTGAAAAGCGAAGCTCTCCGGCTCGTCCAAAATTGTTCTCCCGCTTTTCAATGTCAGTATAATTCCGTTGTGCTTCTGGATTTTACTTACCTGGGCTTGATCGAGTTCTACCCGAGCTGTTTCTAGCTCCTCCTTGACCTTCTTTACTCCATCAATCTCAGCTCTCTCTTTCTCCCATTTCTCGGTGAGCTTAGCAGCCTCTTCCTGGCACTCTTTTAGAGTTCCTTGCAGCTTCTCCCGGCGTTCTTGGGATGCTACATCGGTCTCTTTCCTCAGACTCTCAAGCTCGATCTGAAGGGTCATGATTCTCTGATCTAGGCGCATAATGTCTTCTGGTTTACTCTCTTGTTGGAGTCGGAGGGCACTAGCGGCTTCATCCATAAGATCAATAGCCTTGTCTGGTAAGAATCGGTCCGTGATATAGCGATTGCTATACGTTGCAGCCGCTACGAGTGCACCATCTGTGATGCGGACTCCCTAGACACCCGGTGATCAGTCAATTTTGCGGGTTTTCCCTCAAAAGAGCAGAGGGGTTGTGTACTTACATGATGAACTTCGTATTTTGATTTTATTCCACGTAGAATACTGATGGTATCGTTTATGGTAGGTTCATCAACCTGAATAGGCTGAAAACGTCTCGCTAATGCAACATCTAAGGAATGTTAGATGACCTACTTGGATGCATCGGCGCGATGTATGAGAATAGAACAGTGATAGACAGAAAAAGGGAGAGTAAGTATGACGAAATGGCGGAAGACAGGCGGCACCGGAACATATGAATGTCTACTGGGCATTCATATACAAGCAACTTCCCACTTTGAAAACTTCAAGCCAGGCTTCACACGAAATCTGTTCTAATCGTCCAGAAGAAAATAATGTTGCTTACCCTTCTCAATCATCCGATATTCGTTTAGTGTTGTAGCACCACAGCACTGAAGTTCGCCTCGTGAAAGAGCCGGTTTTAAGAGGTTGCTGGCATCAATACTTCCTTCGGATTTTCCGAGACCGAGCAATGTGTGAAGTTCGTCCACAAAAAGGATAATACCGCCATCGGCTTCCTGAACTTCAGCGAGAACTTTCTTGAGCCTCTCCTCAAAGTCCCCTCGGAACTTTGCTCCAGCAATCAATTGTCCCAGATCGAGTGAGATAACTCTCTTGTTCTTGACCGACTCGGGCACATCTCCTCGGACTATCCGTTGTGCTAAACCTTCTAGGATAGCTGTCTTGCCGGTTCCTGCAGAACCGATGAGCACTGGGTTATTTTTCGTTCGTCTCGATAGCACTTGAATGGTTCGATGTATTTCAGCGTCTCTCCCAATGACCGGGTCGAGTTTCCCAGCCTTTGCTCGCGCAGTTAAGTCAACTCCATATTGCTCTAGTGCCGACTTCTCCTCTCCGCCACCCATGTCCATTCGATGGGTTCCGCCAGGTGGGTGTGGACGTCCACCAGCATAGTTTCGTACCGAAGTGATTGGAAGAATTGCTGTTGCAGGGAATTTGGTCATTCCACGAAGGGCCGCTGTTGCTAGTGAAGCTCCATTGCTGTGACGAACGTTTTTTTTACTTGCTGAAGCAGCTCGAGCAAAAATGCGGCGCGCAGGAGTTCGAAACTGTGCAGAGATCATTTTGAGATGTGTTGCGACAATTGGACTGGATGTACCATGGGGCAGAAGACATTTGACACCATATTGCTTTTTATATGCTGGTTGTCAATGATCAGGAACTTTATCCAGAAAGCTCTGGAGAGCTCTCGAAAGACGGCAACGCTAATCCCGATTCATGCTAGTCTCGGACAGCCAATCAGAGCAGAGGGGTCCCGTCTCGGCGCGGCTCAAGTCATAGCCATCAACATCGAAATCCTAAAAATTTCACCCCACCACGACTCAAAACCCCTCCGCCCACCTTCTTTCCTCCTTCTTCCTCCTTCACAAACATAACAGAAGACACAAACCGTCACCATGGGATTTGTTGATTTCCTCACAGATGCTGGTCTCACCAGTAAGTCTTCTGTCCGCCCTCGATACAACGAGGAGGCGGTCGACTCGTTTGCAACGCAAAGCAATACTGATGTGACTCAGCCCTCAACAGCTGGTTGACCACCCGTTCCTACATCGTTGGGTATGTTCAGGATCTTTCCGCAAAGTTTTTCCGCTCTCCTCTAGTCGGAGGAAGCTGCATTGTGGCTACTACGGGCAGCTTTCCCCCGCCTGGATTATACCTCTTATGATGAACAGAATTGGTCCGTGTTACTGAGCGGCCTCAAGAACCGTGTTATGGCGAGACACCAAGCATGCAAATGCACCTCTGAACTTCCATTTTTGATTACTTCATCCACTGGCTTCATGCCGCGCACAGTTAGCTAACTCCAGGACAGATATTCTCCTTCCCAAGCCGATGTCGTCTCCTTCAAGGCCCTCCCTTCCGCACCTGATTCCGCCAAGTACCCACATGCAGCCAGATGGTACAAGCATATTGCATCATACGCTGAAGAGTTCGCAACTCTTGAAGGTGATGCGTCCAAGGCTTACACCACCTACGGCCCTGATGTCGCTGAGGTCACCCTGAACCCAGCCAAGGCACCAGCTGCTGAGGAGGACGATGATGTCGACTTGTTCGGTAGCGACGACGAGGAGGAGGATGCTGAGGCCGAGAGAATCAGAAATGAGCGTCTAGCTGAATATGCAGCTAAGAAGGCCGGAAAAACTAAGCCTGCTGCCAAATCCGTGGTCACTATGGATGTCAAGCCTTGGGGTAAGTGTTCTTATATAAGTACCAATGGTCAGTTTCCTAATTGTCACAAATAGACGATGAGACCGACATGAAGGCTCTTGAGGCTTCCGTCCGTTCCATCGAGAAGGACGGTCTCGTTTGGGGTGCTTCAAAGTTGGTTCCTGTTGGTTTCGGTATCAAGAAGCTCCAGATCAACTTGGTTATCGAGGATGACAAGATTGGTCTTGATGACTTGCAAGAGGAGATTGCCGAATCCTTCGATGAATACGTTCAATCTTCTGATATCGTAAGTCCTCACTCACCCTCGGCGTCTCTACGGGACCACACTGACTTTCTGTAGGCTGCCATGCAAAAGTTGTAGAGTGTTATTGGAACGTAGATCACGTTGATTTGCGCAATCGGCATTTTCATTTTTGATATTAGGCAGACTGGTGTTATCACGGTTTTTTGCTGATGAGAATGATTGATTGTCCCTGATGAACGACATAGTAATCACCATAGGCACGTGCAACTGCATAGAATGAAAATAATGGCGTTTCTATGATTCACTGCGTATTTGTGAAATGAAATAATAGACAATATTAACATTTGGACCATGCTCCGAACTACTTACCTTACCTTAATTATGTGCCCAAGACAACGGGCATTCGGCTCTTCAACCTCCGAGCCTTAACACATCAAAGCTCTCTCAACCTCAGCATCCGGCCCCTCGTCACACTGTCAAAATGACTTGGTTATCGAAATCAATCACCGGGCTTGGCTTTCTGTTTCTGGCGCACGCGTAGGTGGAGATTATTGCCTCAGAGGTTCTGATGCTAACCTGAGAACCATGAACAGCTGCTACTCCGCCCACGAACATTCTGCTCTGCATTCCGCCAGCACAGCAGCCCTGTCCTCCATCTCGACGCCTGGCGTATCTGCCTCTACTGCCTCCTCACTTCCGCTGGACATCTCAATTGAGACACTCGCGGCTATATTCACAATCTGCCTAGGCCTTGTGTTGGGCACCCCCGAACTACGACCGATACAATGGCGCGTCTGGGCCGGAAAGATTGAGCGCGAGGGCGAGGCAGGATTCTCCAATGGAGACGGAGAGGTTGACAAGGACTACGTTGGCAATCCGTTCAAGCTGCTAGAGAGCCGGCCAGGATTTGTAGACATCAGGAAGCAGAGGAAGGAGTTTGCGGCGTGGGTACGGGAGGGAGGGAATGTTGCGGGAGCTCCCAGGAGCTAGATGGATCTCTAAATTATAGCTGGGGAACCTATTCCTCACGACTGAGAGACGTCCCGGTGGTTAGAGATGTCCTATCATGCGCCAGCTGGTATGCAGGATTGTAAGAAAGAAGAGGAGCACCATTGACGACAATTAAAATGGCTATGCGCCAGAATGTTGGCACTAAAGTATGTATCATGTCCCTCTACAAGTTTTGATACAATAAATGCTGTGTGTGGTTGAAGCCCTGTTGGTCGAGCTGTAGTTCTGCCTTTTCTTAGCTTGCTCTTCTTCTTTCTTTAATGCCCATCTCGCCCTCTTAAACACCATCCGCTGGCCCAGCCTTCATAATACCGAATAGTTTATGATGGCCTACAAGCGTCCTCGGGCAAACAGTGGATCGGCATCCCAGCGTTCTTCGTCTCGTTTATGTCCTGGCTCTCAGTCGTTCTCGAGATTGAGCTCCGTCCCACGAAGCCATCCGCAGTCGTCCCCAGCGCTCCCAACCCTCCCGCGTCAAAATAGAATTTCCTTGGGAGTTCCAGTACCGCATTTCTCTGCCTTTTCCTCTCGGCGGGATAAAGATTTTGTGCGCGCTGAGCTGTACGAAACAGAGGAGGAAGTACAGGATCGCGAAAATTCCGATGCTATCAACGAAGTCATCATGGCTGTTGAGTTAAAATCTCCTGGTACGGTTGGATGTGCCTACTATGTAGCTCGAGACGAGAAGCTTTGTCTCATGGAAGATATCAAGATGGCTGGCCTTGATATCGTCGATACGTTGAAGGTCCACATACAACCTACAACTATCCTGATAAGCACACGATCCGACGAAAAGTTGGAGGAGCACCTATCCAAGGATGCTCGTGGCATCGAACGGGGAGGTGAAGCAAGTAAGCTGGAATTCTCTGCTTCCTATATCTTTTCTGATCGCCATCTTCTAGATGATATATTTGGCGCGTACGTGCTCGATGCCCGCCCTTCCCCCGAGTTCTCTTCAGAGGGGGCGAAGAGTAAGCTTGTCGGTCTAGATCTTGCTACCGACGATGGACTCAACATTGCGTTCACAACTCCTGGAGACGCCATGATCGAAGACGCGTCTATGGGCCGCCAAGGCAGACTCATGAGACTCGCGGGCTGGATTGATCTGGATAGCGAAGTCACGGTGTGTTCCAGTCTTTCTAGTTGTTTCAGTAAAGCTGACGGATCAGATCGGGTGTGCAGGTGCCGTTCTACATTACATAGGACGTCGCAAGAATGTTGAATATCTGCCCAATGACGGAGCCGCCCTCATCGCATTTCGAATCCGTACCATTGAGATGTTTACGCTTTCTGATATGATGTTCGTCAATGTTGATACGTTGGCATCACTCCAGATTATACAATCCGAGATCCATCCAAACTCCCATATGCAAGGACCGAACAATCCGAGCTCTGGAGCAAAGGAGAGTCTTTCAGTCTATGGCTTGTTCTCACGTCTAGCTCGCACGCCCCAAGGGAAACAGAAGCTTCGGCAACTCTTTTTGCGGCCCAGTACGGATTTGGCAGTCATTGAAGAGAGGCTGCGGACCATAGCTGTCTTTCTGCTGCCCGAGAATATGCCTACTATCGAGAAGCTTTCCCAGAGCTTAAAGATGATCAAGGACATCCGGTCGGTCATGGTGCATCTCCAGAAGGGTATCAGCAATACCACAGGTAATGGTTCTTCTATACGTCGGGGTGCTTGGGCCAATATCCAAAATTTCACTTTCCATGTTCTGAGGATACTCGAAGCTATTCAGGAAATGGCTGGCAATCAGACATTGGCTATCACTACCAAGATGTTGGCTAAGATACAAGGAGCTCGTATGAACGAGATTGGTACCATGATCACAGACGTCGTTGACTTCCAGATGTCGGCCGAACAACATCGTACAACCGTCTTGCAAGGCTTCGACGCAGAGTTGGACAGCATCAAGAGAACCTACGACAGCATGGACACCTTTCTTACGCGCGTCGCGACACAACTTTCGAGCGACATACCCGAATGGGCCTCTCAGTATGTCTCGAATTGCATCTTCTTCCCACAGCTTGGGTTCCTGACTGTAGTCCCTCTCGATCTGGAGACGGGTAAAGGAAAATATGAAGGTGAAGGTATTGAGAATGACGCTTGGGAGAAGATGTTCACCAGTAACGATATGGGGTATTATAAGAACAAGCGCATGAAAGAGATGGATGAATATTTCGGTGACATGTACGGAATGATCTGTGGTAAGTTAGCCGATTAACAACAAATTCTAAAGCTAATATAGCGAAAAGATAGGGAGATTGAGATCCTTCATGGCCTAGGTGTTAGGATTCTCGAACATGAGAAACTTCTCATCGCTGCTTCTGATCTTTGTGGAGAGCTTGACAGCCTGGTTGCCCTTGCAGCTGGAGCTCGCAAGTATGATTATAACCCTCCACGGGTGATTACGGCCAATTCCCTTCAGATCGAAGGGGGCCGACACCCACTTCAAGAGCTCACCGTTCCAGTATACATTGCAAACGACTGCTTCGTTACGGGGGGTGCGGGAAATATGAACGAGGTTGACGAGGTCCAATATCCCTCGGTATCGCCATCAGCTGTCCATCAGAGCGGAGAGAATTCGGGTATGCTCATCATGACAGGCCCAAACTACTCTGGTAAAAGTGTTTATCTCAAGCAAAATGCCCTCATTGTCTATATGGCCCACATCGGCAGCTATGTTCCTGCTCAGAAGGCCATTATCGGATTAACGGACAAGATCCTCACCAGAATCGCAACTAGGGAGAGTGTTTCCCGGAATCAGAGTGCTTTCATGATCGATGTGCAGCAGATCGCTCTGGCTCTGACTCTAGCCACCAGCAGAACTCTTCTTGTGATTGATGAATTCGGGAAAGGCACAAATGCTTCTGATGGTGCTGGCCTTTGTTGTGGGGTTTTCGACTATCTGCTCAACCTTGGAGCTAATCGACCAAAAGTCCTAGGGGCAACTCATTTCCATGAAATATTCGAGAATGGCTTCTTACAGGAGCGTCCTGGGCTGTTTTTCGGTCATATGGAGGTTCGTGTCGATACACATGCCGAAACTGTGGAAGACCAGGTCACGTACCTTTACAACTTTATGCCAGGCCGAAGCACTTCCAGTTTTGGGACTTGTTGTGCTGCGATGAATGGCATCGATCCCGCCATTGTGGAAAGAGCAGATGAATTGATCCTTTTGACGGCTCGTGGCGAAGATCTAGTTGCAGCCTGTTCGAAGATCTCGTCAGAAGAGGCCCAGGATTTGGAAGATGCAGAACAGATCGGAAGACAGTTTCTCGAGGTCGATCTGCCACGCCCAGAGGACAAGCATCGAACGAAGATCGACGTCCGATGTATCTTGCAGGAGATTCTGTCTGTAGGTTCGAGTGAGTGATAACAAGCTGGAACTCTGTCTTGTGTTTGCTATTTATTGCGAGCTATTCCTAGTCTAGCACACTATATCTCATCTTGCTGCACCGCTTAGACCTCTGTATCACAGATGTCAGAAGCAATCTTTGCCGATATAATACGTTTCATTTAGCAGTGATCGGACGACTGAGCCCTTCACCGCAAGGACCTTCCGCACAGCTTTTGGGCACCTGGCGAACCAGTCGTTAAGTCACAAATGTCGTCAAATATCTGCCAAGAAGTCCGCCCTGTCAGTCCGATCTCAGTCAACCGGCCTGATACGCTGCTCGGATGCATTAATCAGACCGTTTCATGGCCACAAGCCGTGACGGAGAAAAAAGACCCTCGGACTGTTCTTGGCTACTAGTAGGTTATCGATAAACCGTCGCAACATGGCAGGAGCAGCATGTAACAGAAAGAAGAGCAGCATTCAACAAGATCAAACAACATAACCAGTGCGCAACTAACACGTCCTGATTATCGTCAGGATACTGAAAACTATTGGCAAGCCATCTTTTACAAGTATGGATATATTCGGACATTTCCACTTTTCCAAGTGTTGCGCAACGAAGTATGTTCGGTTGGCTAGTCGCCCTTCACTTCGCCTTGCAGAGGTCGATGCAGATTGAGCTTATGCACCTTGGCTCCGGCTCTTGTCGTCATTTTTATTGCAAAATGTTCACAACTCGGTCCACAAAATATTGGTTTGCTGCATGTATCGGAGACAAATTGATATTCGCTACAAGGAAGGCCCTCCCTCTGCGTCTCATCCCGTTTTTTGCACTCTTCGTCGCTTCTTCTCTTCTTGGGTGACAGATCCGAGGCGCCCAAAATCGGGTCGCTTAACCCGATGTAGACGCCTTGCTCCCGGGCAAGGTTAGTCGCTGCCAGGGCATAATTTGCATTCACCTGAAGCTAGCCTTCCGTAATGATTGCGGCAAATCGGGTACGCGGTCCACATGATGCACCTCTGCTGAAGGGAAGAATTAGAGGAGCTGGCATTAGACACAGGTCATTGTCTTGGGATGTTGCTAGGGATTCGTTGATTTCATGTAAGTTACCCAGCAGGCATGTAAAGTCGTGGACTAGAGGACCGAGGGATCGCACTGCAGTATATAAGTATCCAAAATATCTTTCGTATTGATCATTCTTTCTTGCATAATCATCCTTTTCAACAACTTCAACAACGGTATATTAGTCTCAGTGTCCCTCTCGAGTTACCGAGTCTCCCTACCAAACCCACCGTACACACGCATACCATCTCCCTCTATCTCTCTCTCTCCCGGTCCAGAATGCAATTTTCCAGCATCTTTTCCGCTGCTCTCGCAGCCAGTGTTGTCTCCGCAGAGGTTAGCTCGCATCTCTTCCAATGAATCTCGTCTACGTATTAACCATCTCTTCAGTCTATGCCACACCACTCCTCAAAAATGACGTCCGCGTCTGAGCCCGCAAAAACTTACTCGGCCTCTTCAGTCTCGATGACGATGTCCTCAGTAGCAAGTCCCACCGACTACCCGACTACATTCGACGACGACCCATACACATATACAGCCTCCCCCAAAGCCACACCAACGTACATGCCGAACGGCACGAACACCACTACCGGCAGTCCCGTCGTGGTAAGCGGCAACAGTGCCCCGTCGCTGCTTTCTCAGAATGGGGTGTGGATTACGGTAGCTGGCCTTGGGGCTGTATTTGCTGTGTTCATGTAACAGGTCTGGCGAGTTGGATATTGGTTTTACTTCGTATGGCGCTGGGGGTTAGGGACGGATGGCATGGACATGAGAGGGTCGTGTGAGAGCGGGTATTCCCAGGTCAAATTTCACTGGCGTAGCGGCGTGTAAAGAGTCACGAGATGAATGCAAAAGTATATGATTCCTATTACCTACTCGGGCTCTCAATGGTCTTTGAAAGTGCCAGCGTGGTTCCGTTCTGTCTATGGATGGCTTGGCATAATCAATCAGTGCGACGGGCCATCCTTTTGGGATACTTCGATACCCGGAACGGTTCCTGGAACTGCGGATCTCTGTACTGGGACAGGGTTTTCATATGTAGATGTTGAGGTCCAATTTCCTTCAGGGACGAAACCCGCTGGCATGTTTCTCGGTAGAGACCAGGTTTGGCATATATCCAAATACTTAGGTTGGCTTTTTGTGTCTCGAGTTGATGACAAGATGTCATGCAAGAAGTGGGTAGAGTGTGGTAGGTATAAAAACCTCGCTTAATAGGGGCCAGTTAGAAAAGGTGGGGAGGAAGGAGCCCCGAACAGCCTGAAACTGACGTAAGCAGGTGGATCTCATCTGGAATATTATTTGCGGTATAGTTAACCTAGTTCTTACATTATGGGCATCATACTAGGATAATTGGCCTGCTGGCCCAATGGCAAGGCGCTTGACTACGATTCGGCATAGCTTAGTCTAATCAAGAGATTGCAGGTTCGATCCCTGCGTAGGTCACATACATTTTGCGTTTTTACCCCGGGTTCCACCTGGAGGTCATATGGAATTTTATTGTCCAATGAATCTTTTTACTTCCTCGCTACGCTGGTCTACAGTCCTTGCCGCGAGCATTTTCTACATTTGGTCTGGAATTTTTTGGTTTCTTTGTTTGCATGAATTTTTTTCCTCATGCCCTAAGCGAGAATGAACAAGGGTGAGCTCACCCCACCCCCCCAAAAATTATAAATCATAATAGGTGTAGAGGAGGCCATATCCAGAGCTTAGACTTTTTTTTTTNTTTTTTTTTTTTTTCATGCTGAGAGAACCCGCCCCTACTTCAGGAATACTGATAAGACAGAATCTCCAAATCTACATTTGCATGGTGGATAGTCATCTCGGCGTTTGGTCAGTCTCTTTCCAATACGAAGGTTCTGTTCCTAAACACGAGACCAAACCGAGCCATGAATTATCGTTCTTATCGGACGAGATGAAAGAAAAAAATTG